TCAGCCTTCACGACTCCCTTTTTTGCTGCATCAGGTTTTCCTTTAGCCCGGTAGGCAGCGATGTCCTTTTCATACTTCTCCTTCAGCTTAGCAGCCTTCTTCTCATATGGCTGCTTGTCATCTGCTGCAGTATTATTCCACATTTCTCCAAGTTTCTTTGCAACATCACCAATGGAGAGGCCAGGATGTTCTCCTTTGATTTTTGGGCGATACTCAGAACAGAACAAGAAGAAAGCCGAAGGAGGCCTCTTGGGCGCATTGGGATCCTTGAACTTCTTTTTTGTTTCTCCTTTAGGAGGAATATAAGTTTTCATTTCTCTTTCATAACGAGCCTTGTCCGCCTTTGCCATATCTTCAAATTTTCCTTTTTCTTTAGCAGACATGGTCTTCCACCTCTCTGAGCACTTCTTCGAAAACTCTGAGAAGTTAACGGAAGCATCTGGGTGCTTCTTCTTGTGCTCCTCTCGGCAAGTTTGCACAAAGAATGCATATGATGACATCTTGCCTCTCGGCTTCTTAGGATCTCCTTTGCCCATGTTTACTTGTTTTCCTCAGCGAGGTACAGAGTCGCCCAGTGCCCGTCCGGCTCTCACTTGCCCCGGCGCTGTCTCTCTTGCTAAAAGTTTTTAAGCCTTATTTTAACCTTAGTTTCTGTGTATGAAATATTATAAAGGTTGATTCTGGGTAGCGGTGTAACCAGATAGGTTGAGATGTTTCATTTGTAGTATAAAGTTGGAAATAATTGTAAATCTGCCTTCCCCAAAGAGTTGAGAAAATAAATTTTAAAAGAAATATTGCAAAATAATTACTATATTTTAAGCATTACTCTTAGAAACAAGGGCTATTAATGTAAATTCATTGTATTGTGAAGAAATTAAAAACTGTCCAATTACTTTGTTTTGTTTTGTTTTTTGTATTTTTCAGGGAAGTGTCTACAGGGTATTCAGGGTCTCACTGCTAGATCGGACTCATAGTGATCCGTCTGTTTACAGCCTCCTAAGAGTTGGGATTACAGGCGCATGACAGCACACCCAGTCTAATACTGTCCAATTACTAACTTTTGCTGCATCCTTGCTGTGTATTTGCATTGGCTCAGGCAGTGGCCATACTGATAAATATGATGAGGTTCACAGATAGATGAAGACTGGGGTCATTGAAAGCTAGCCAGATGTAAAAGCACATGGTTGCAGTGCATAGCAGTAAGTGTCCTGAACAGATGTGGTGATACGAGGGAAGGATTGATTCTGCTGGCGATGGCCTATCTTTCCCAATGGCTACACTATGGGACTGTTGCTCTAGCCAGAATGCAGATTAAATAATGGGAAGAGGAAACACGTGTAGCCCCAGTAAGCCATGAACACAAACAATATCAAAAAAGATCACAATTATGTTGTCTACAAATACTGTTATCTAAATTAATTAGAATCTCTGTGTTGTACCAATTGGAACAGTTACCAGAAGGTCCTCTTTTGATCATTACGTTTTTGCTCCCTAGAACAAGGAGGAGTATTTTAGTCTGCCCTAACAGTGTCTTGTCAGCATCTCTGCCTTTGGTGGGTTATATTGAGAATGACTTCCCTCCCTAACCCAAATAATCACTCTTGGAGATCTAAAATGTGAGTAAAGTGATAGTTAATGCTTTCATTGAAATCTTTGGGGATAGGTGTTCAGTAGTTTATTTATTTAATTATTTCTTTTAATGTATTTTAGGACAGGTCTACAGGTCTCATCACACAGATTGGACTCTTAGTGATCCTCCTGTTCTTAGCCTCCCAAGCACTGGGATTACAGGTGCATGCCACCACGCCCAGTTCAATCACTATTTTAGTGTGCCCCAGGGGCGAGGCTGGCACACCACACCAGCAATCGAACCCCAGCTGCTACACTCTGCCTAAGCAGGCACTTTAGTCCACAGAGCTATCTGGCTGGCCCAGTTCTGTTTTGAAGACTATTCTGCCTCCAAGCTCCTGTGGTGCTCGACATCAAGCAATACTGGATTGCTCAATTTGCAGACCAAGTATAAATGTAGGGAGGGCACTAGTATAAAGAAATAAAAATTTTTGAAAGAAATTTACATATTACATATTTTTAAAATCATAGCAGATAAAGAACTTATTGCCATTCCACATACATAATTTTTTACCTAAAAATATATGGTCTTAGTGTTCAATAATGAAAAGGGAAATAATCCCTCTTCCTGGGGGAATCTGATTGGAGTTGATGAGGTTTATAAAAATTCATCGGTGTATCCTGCTTTTGTTGACTTCTGAGTAAGCCTAAGAGAAAATCACTTCTTCCTGGGTACATAATTGATCAGCCAAACTGTAGGTGACGATAAGTAAAGGTGCCCATCCATCACTCTAACAGAGCCTCTTTCCTCTCCTCTTTTGTTAATGATTTCCCCTTACCTTTCTGTGCTACATAGTTTCTGGTTGCTTGTAGAAATATAACCAAATAATCTTTTGTAGCAATTTGGCATTGCCATAGAATGGCAGAGAAGAGATGTGTAAAGAAAGAATGTGAATTGCCCATTTAAAATATGTTTTCTCACTGAGGGAAGATCAAGTTGTTTGGCCGGACTAAATTTCTATACTCACTAACTAACCTCAAGAAATGTTTAAGAGTAGGAAATAATAGTGTAGTCTTACCTGAGGACACGGATTGGGCTGCGGACCTAAAGTACTTCTAAGTCTTGAGGAAAGAATATAGCTGTATTTACTTTTGGGAGTTTTGCCTTAAGGTTGCATTAAAGTCAATTTCAGGCAAAGCACTGTTTAAAATTAAAAGCATGTTGGCTTGGGTGTGTGTGTGTGTGTGTGTGTGTGTGTGTGTGTGTTTGAATAGCAGCATTTTACCTTTCTGCAGATTTTAACTATATTTCAGGAAATATTCTGTCAGCAGTGTGACTATGACATAACGAATGCATTTCACATGGGTTAATGGAATTTAAATAGCTCTGTGAGGCTAAGTAAAATAGCTGATCTACTTGTGCTTGGCTTTGCTGCTTATAATTTGAAGATGGGATACTGCAAAAAATGTTTTAAAAAATCATTCAAAATGTAAACAGTGTTCGGTAAATTGTATTAAATCACACAACTGCTTTAGATTCAGGACTTGAAAGGCTGTTCAGTCACTAGAAAAGTTATAAGCAAGGCAGTTTACTGTTCTTGCTTCCCACTCTGACTGCCTTTGTGATGTTCCTTATCTGTCACTTTAGATATGCAGGGGTCAGTCCACTTCTCCTGCTTGAGGCTTGCTTGAAGGAACATTACTAACATTATTGATGTTCGCTAGTACCAGGCTTTTATTAGCTGTTTTACATATGTTCTCATTTAAATGACTGTCAGACTTCTGACACTGGCTCCTCTTCCCCAGCTCTGAACTCCATTTATTTAAAACTACTTCTAAGGATGGCTGTAGAATTCATTTATAGCATGTGGTGATACATGGAAATATCTATTTTCACACCTACATTTACACGTAAATATTATTAATCCTGTGTAATACAGACAAATGGTATATCCGTTCTGTTAAAGAGTGTGGTTTCTGAAGCCAGGCTACTTGAGGAGACCCAGATTCATGGGTCAGTTTATGTTAACTGAGTGGATTAGGAGACTCCTGGAGAAGGATTGGACTATGGGGGCACTGTTCTCACCAGTGCATTGTTTCACGGCTATTCATAGCTGACTGTGCTAATAGGACATACGGGCAAGAGGGACGAGGTGGCTCAGTGGTGGCAGTGCCTTTGGAGGGTGTGCTTGTCTCCCACTCTGCTTCCTGGCTACTGTGGAGCAAGCACCTTCACTTGGCCATGGGCATGCACCGGGATGTTTCTACCCTAGAGCCAGCCGATCACATACTGAAGCCAGGAGCCCAGTGTAACCTCTCCTCCCTTACTGTGTGCTGTAGGGTACTTTGTCCTGGGGACAGAAAAAAATATGCAGTTCTAGAGGTTGTTCCTGCCCAAGGTCACATATTAATAGTGATATAGATATGTAGATATATTCATATTCTCCCAAAAATGTATAGACAATTCAAGAAAAGAAAACCTTGTATAAATATTTTAATTCTAAATTTATTGAGACACCATGCCATTACAAACTACCTTTGACCTCTGCAACTACCAGAGGTCTTCCAAGTAGTAGCCATTAGCTTCCATTTATTATTTTTCTTCTCCTGACATGCTTATACATTTTTTGGCAGATTCTGTGAATAGGTACATGTGCATGTATGTGCTCATGTGCATGGGTCCATGCAGTGCAGAAATCATAGAATTCCTTGGCAAGTGGGAGAGGGTTCTTTCTCTGTTAAACATCTGGCAACAGATGGATCGTTTCATTCCTTTCTGATTCACATGTATCTTTGTCCTTGTCCTGTCTTCCTAACTAGGCTGGGAGCAAGAACTGCCTCTTACAACCCTCTGGCACTCACAGAAAGAAAGTCAATCAACAAATTATTATCTAGCAGGTGAATAACTATAAGAATTCAAGGTCACCTCACATATCAGGATCAGTACCTTGCACAACTCTAAAGAATATCAGTCAAATTTTATTCTGTAGTTGTGCAAGTAGTAGCCCTATAATGTTTGCCAGATTTAGAATGAGCTTTCTTTGGTTTCTTGTGACAAAATACTTCCCTTCCTTCCTTATTATTTGATAGGAAGCAACATTATACATGTAAATTTCTCAAATCCTTTTGGAGTTTGTTACTCTGCTCTTTCCCACTAATTGGATTTTTCTTTGTTTTGAGTAATATCTCAGAGATCCAGCTTTGTAGAGCACCTCGAAACATGATCCACACATTCCAAGAATGTGTCACTAGGTAACCAAATGAACAAAGGGACTCTTCATGGCTAGATGGTTTCTATCTTTGTGAAGTTGAGAGAAAAACAAGCAGCAGTGGAGTAGGGTGCAAAGAAGTTCTTGTAAGAAAACCTAGTGTTTGCTTTTCATTTTTCCAAACTTATGGGTGTTTGTTTTCACTCCTGTCTACCCAGGAAACCAAGTGCTACCTCCTGGAGCATCTCTCGGAAGTGGACTCACAGCAGAAGCAGCAAGAGAGCTCGGCCTTCCCGTTGGCATTGCAGTGGCAGCCTCGCTCATTGATGCCCATGCAGGAGGTCTAGGTAATCTTTCCCTGTGTGAGCAGAATGGTGCCCAGCACACACATCACTCCTTATGTGATTGTATAGCAGAAACCAAGGACTGCTTATGCAAGGGACAGTGATGCAAAGCCTTTTATGGTCAGGCATTGGGTAGAATTATAGAATATTTTTGTCAAATATAAAACTTATGTTTCCATAAATATTTTCCCATAATATAACACACACACACACACACACACATAATACAATATATAATGACATATAATAACATAATAATAACAGTAAAATTAATCCAGGGAAATTTCTGGGTGTTTCTTTGGTTTCCTGAAAATTTTAAAAATATATATGCACTTCCATCTAGCACATATGTTGGCACTGTACTCAGTTTTTCTAATAGCATCAAAAAATCCTTGTAAGCCTAATAGATATTTGTCTGTTTGGGGCCACCTGAGTTTAAACACAGCAGCTTTTCACTGAGCTACATCCCCAGCCATTTTTAAAAGATTTACTGTGAGATAGGATCTAATTAAGCCACAGAAATGCCAGGGCTGGACTCAACTTGTGATTCTCTTGCTTTAGCCTCTCTGAGTCCTGGGCGTACAGGCCTGTGTGCTACTACCCTGGCTAGATTTAGTTTTATATTTATTTTTATAGTATACATTTCTGTTTCATATCCAGTTACTTGATTACAATTTTGATTTTTTTCTCCTGTATAATTCTCAAATCTGTCACTCTTGCATTCATTTTTCAAATACTTATTAAGCATTTGTCACCTCCACCATGGTGCTAAAAGACAGTAAGCCAAGAATGGGGGAGATATCTCAGTGGCAAAGAACCTGGTTACTGTGCCCACATTCCTAAGTTTGATCCTCAGCATTGCAAATGATAAATACATGATACCTAAGATTTCTTCCCAAATTTTAGTAGGGAACTACACATCATGGCAAACAATAAAATGCCTTTATCATCCCTATTGCAGTGTTGTTTTGTCTTCTTCCTTCCTCCTGCCCTTCCTTTTCTTCCTATTTTTTTTTTCTTTTCTTTTTCCTCTTTTGGCTATTCTTATACTCCGTATATATCACTTCTCTGTATATATCACTTTTCTATAGCTGTATGTTTTCCCCAGCCTTTCTATCTAAGAGTGAGTATTTTAAACTGTGGTTCATAATTCATGTTGTGAACTTAGTAGGATATATCTATGGGATTTTCAGAGTAGTCTGTGATAGAATAGAGTAGAGGAGTAGAGTAGAATAGAGTACAGTAGAGTAGAATAGAATAGAATGGGAGTATAGTAGAACATAGAAGCATACCTCACATGATAAAGGTTAGCACTGTGTTGTGGGATATATATATATATATATATATATATATATATATAATTTCTATTAGGGCATGGTGAAAATAAATTTCTTGCTAAGGATTAGGGTCAGGAAACTTGTTGGCATGGTGTTGTACACTTATAGTCCAGCCACCCACCTATAGTCCACCATCCCCCTGTGGGTAGATGACAGGTAGGCAGTGTAGTTCTGACTACAAACAAGGTGTTTCCCCAGGAAGCATTTTGTAATATGTGCTTTTGGGGGCACTGCCATGATTTGGGTTTTTTAGTAGAAGCATAAAGAGAACTGGAAGTCGAAATGTATGTAATGTGTTCTTGGCCATAGTGATCCTGACATTCCAGATCACAAGAAAACCTTTCAGTCCTGCTTTTGAAATTGCTCTTTGTCTACAAAAATTCAGCGGGGCCCACCCCATGCTGAAGGGCAGAGGGCTGCTGCTGCTTGGGAGCTTTCCAGGGCTCCCCAAAGGACATGTGAAAACATGCTCTCTCCCTTTTCCCATAACTCAGTGTTCTGTAGAGTGGGAGATTGCCTGATGACCTGTCTTTTTCCTAAAAATTTACCTTTAGAAGCTTTGGCTTAAGACTTTTGTTCCCTTTAAAATGCAGTGCTTACAAGTTACTAAATTTACCCTGTCTTGTCAAAAGTAAGGCTTTTTTGAATGAAAAGATAAAATAAAACCTAGGATGCTTTAAGGGCTGAGCATAGGTACCAGCAGTGGCTGGGAAGGACATTCTCAGTGGCCATGGGACAGAAAAGTACTACTTAACAGTTTGGCTTCAGCCAGTTCAGGATTAGCATGTCTGAGAGACGAGAGGCTGTGGAGTAAAGCTCCCTTCTGTTTTTCACCTTGCCTATGCCCTGGCCAGGTATGGAAGGAAACAGAATCTTAAAATGCCTACAAGCATCACCCACCAGTACAACTGTAGACTCTAAGACAAGCATCATGTGAACATAAACCTATCAGCTCAGTGTCTAGGCACTGGAGGCTTTGAGATTTGAGCAGTGAACAGAGCTGACAAAGTCCCTCTGCTTTCAGAGAGAAAATTCTGTTGTCCTGTGTACCTGAGCTTGTATGTTGACACTATTGGTATGGAATAGTGGCACTCCTGAGACCCATTGTATCTGAAGATTAAGATTGAATTCCTGTTTTGTCTACAAAAATAGGGTTCCTTTTAACATGTTCCTTTTGTGGGTGGAGCTTTCAGGGCTCCTTTGCAGGATTGTTAGGATAATGTTGATATAAATTGTGTGGTTAACATCGAGTCTGGCACATACTGTATGCTATGAGGTCTTTCTCTTTGAGTTTCTCACACTGAGCCACAGCAGCTGACACAAAGTAAGAGCTTCATAAATGGAGCTCTGAGCTATCACCCTGGAAGACAATCTGTACCAGAACTGTCTTTTCCACACTAAGGCAGGTGAAAAAGGACCTGAGGCTCTGGACTCTTTTTGTCTTCCCTGCATTTTGCTCTATTTTTTTTTCTTCTCCACTTCTCGGTAGCAGAGTGCAGAATTTACTATGTTAAGATTCTGAGTAGCTTGAGGTCAGAAATGGCCTCAAAAACTGCTTAGATGTGTTTTCTGCTAAGAGAAGATGCCTGGTGGTCAGTGAGAACTCAGCATTGGACTGAGATGAAGAGGCCATCTAGGCCTCTTGAAAGCAAGTCCAGCTGAATATGGTTGCTCTGGGTGCTGGCCTGGCATGTTCATGTTGCACCCTGTGCTCTGAGGAGGAGGACGAGGGTCAGCCCTCTGTTTTGGAGAAATACTTCTTTACACTTTTTCCCAGAAGCAGCCTTTGAAGGGAGGATAAAGATCAAAAAAACAAGTACAACTGAACTCATGCTTTTTCCAGTCTGGAAACATGGGAAAAAAGACATTGTGGAAATACAAATCAAAGATAAAAGCACATTTTGTTCTTAAGGTGCTGGTTAGTAAATTCTCTAGCAGATAGCAAAAAGATAGTAGTAGCTTTCTTTGCACTCTGTAAGGGTGGTTCTGGCCACTGTTCCTGCTACTGATATTTTTCTAGGTTTTAAAAATAGCATTAACTTTGTTTCAAATCTGTTCTTGGCTGTAGCACTCTAAATGTCCTGAAAGGCAATAACAACTTTCTTTCTTTCTCAGACTCCTCTCCTGTCCATTGCTTTTCTCTGTGAAACATGCTCCTGGTTGTACATTAATCTTTTTTTTCATAATTTTATTAAGAAATAAATAGCAATGAGACAGTTTCGAATAAAATTGGTAGGATGTCCATCAAATCTTGACGATGGTGCCATTTTCTTGGGGCAACCTGCCCTAACTCCCCATGCTAGCTCTGTCTCTCTTTCCTCTTTTTTTGGTAGCTGTGGCTTGTATTTGTAGGTCTATATGGTCAAAATTGTCTTGTCTATATTGCTTAGATTTTTTTAGTACATTGCCATTTAATCTTTGTATTCTACAACTTTTAACATGCTTTGCACATGGAAGACCCTTATCACATGTGTATTGGTGAACGAATAATTGCATAAATGGCATTCATTCCATACAAGATGAGAATTTTGGCTGTGAAAAGGAGCAGCAGGCTCTCAATACAGAGGTAACTGTCTCTATGCAGTAATTATGCCCAGCTCAGTTTTCTGGGAGCAACAGAATTTCCACACTCTCTGAACTACACTTGGATGTCTGGAAATCTCCACCCTTTGTGTTCACATCACATTAGCAGATTTTGGCAGGGAGCACATTTTGTGTCCAGGTCTAGCAGGACTCTTTGATTACCAATCCTGGATGTTTAGCCAGACATTGAATTGGCTTAAATTACTCATCTGGGCCAGATGTTGAATTGGATCAAATTGTTCATCTGAATTGCACAGTCAAACTGAAATGAGAATTTTTAATGTTTTTTTCTTTATCTTTTTTTTTAACATCAGAAGCATTAATATAGCTAGCTGCAAATGAGCTTTGTGCCCTCCTAATACAAAGCGTAGTTTTGCTTTAGACTGGCAATAAAACCAGCCAATTCCTTATCTCACTGTTATCAGGGTTCTAGCAGAGAGGGTAGATAGGCAGTGTCTTTAGGTAATTTGATCTTGAGGAGTATTTATGAAATACAATATGTGTGCCCAGGAACAGCCTACTAATCATAATCTCTTGGCTTTCTAGATTTCAGATTTAGGAAATATATTTGTGTTTACCATAGAAAGGCTCCTTATAGCAACTTTGTAGTACAGTTAGGACAGGTATACACCTTTATTATGCATAGGGAGCACCTGAGCCCCAGGACCTTGGGGAATTACTTGTGGACCCAAGAATAGATTTTTATGTGATATGTAATATTTACCTCTTTTTTTTTTTGGCTGGCTCAGAACCTTCAGGGCAGGTTTAGCTGGCTTGAGTTGTGGGGATCGAACCACAGCAACCTGAGCCTGATGGCTTTGTTGAAGCAGCCACTTAAAGAACTGAGCTAAGGGGCAGGCTCCCAATATTTACCTCTGAAACCAACTTTTTACATACTATTGTATTTTTTCATTTGTCAAAGGACACTGTCAAGGTGCATGGGACTGCCTAACTTGTTCTATGAGAGTTTCAAAGTAAGTGGTGATTCATGATTAAATCCACACCGTCTGATTCCACAGCTCACACCTACCGTTGTCTTACAGGCAAGGATATACATATGCGATGCAGTCCTCTCTTACATTT